CGACATAACGTTCCTATGAGACATACATACTTGATTCTTGTCATATTGTTCATGATTAACAATACATGATTTTTCTAATGTTTCATAGGCATAGGGTGTACGAAACATAATATAGAAGTATCTTGATGCACGTGGTATACAAAATGCATGAGGTCCCATAACATCAAAGCATGACATATATTCATGGCGCTAGTCATACCTCAAATCTATTCCAAGCATAGTGTTCATATAAGATATAAATACTTGATTGATTTCATATTTTTAATAATTAACAATACATGATTTTCTAATGTCTCATAGTCCTAGAATAGTGTATATGATATCATAGCGTAACTTGTATGCAACATATCGTATATCATATCATCTACATAACATAGTATATGTCATACAATTATAAAACACGATATGTGCAAGGGCCACAGGTAGCGATGTCCATTCCCCGTCATCATCCCCACCATCTACTTCATTCTCCATTTCCATGAAATTCTCTATTTATTTGTGTGCAGATCAAGGTAAGGGATTCATGGCAAGGAAGTGGCAGGGATTGGATTCCCCATGGATAATTTTAGTGGGATTTAAATTCAAGAGTCAGTCTTGTAGGGTAAGGCCAAGAGTTTTGAAGATGAAAGGCCAAGAATCTTTATAGGAATAATGACTTTTTAAACGGTTAGGAACAGTGGCATTGTTATGTCTATATTTAATTTTAGAAAACCTTATAAATACAATTGTTATTACTATCGTGGTAAAGTAGAGTAGAGTAAAAAAAGAAAAGGAACAGAGAAGAAATAGAAGGTTTTTTCATAGTGTTCTTTATCTCATTCTAACATTAGTGTGTGGAACTTATTTCACTAATTTATGAGTTTTCGTTAACAAAATTATATCAAGCCAATGACGAATGTGGGTCAAATTCCTCTACCGCAACTAGTGAAGACAAAGTACGGGAATTGAAGCATTAATATGAAAGCTTTTCTCGGTTCTCAAGATGCATGGGAGGTGGTTGAAGAAGGGTTAGAAGAACCAAAAGATACCACGGATTATACAGCGGCACAAAACAAGACGTTAAAAGAGGTGCGATCAAAAGATAAGACGTCACTATACATGTTGTTCCGAGCCGTTGACGAGTCGGGCTTTGAGAAGCTTGCCAATGCAACTACTTCAAAAGAAGCATCAGAAAATTTAAGAAAAGTGTTCAAAGGAATCGATCGAGTCAAGCAAGTGCGTCTCCAAACTCTTCGTGGCAAGTTGGAGAACAAGAGATGAAGGAGTCAGAAAGTGTATCTGACTACATCACGCATGTACAAACTCTGGTTAACCAACTCAACCGAAATGGAGAAATGTTAGCTGAGACTCGGGTTTTGGAGAAGATTTTAAGGTCATTAACCAACAACTTTGAGAATGTTGTATGCGCGATCGAAGAGTTAAAGAACCTAGCAACATTCACAGTCGACGAGCTAGCCGGTTTTCTCGAGGAACACGAGCAACGTAAGAAGAAGAAGGAGGAAACACTTGATCAATCACTTCAAACCAAGGCGTCAATCAAAAATTAAAAGGTACTCTACTCTAAAAATTTTGAAGGTAGAGGTTTTGACAATGAAAGCAGTAAAAATGGTCATGGTGCTCAAGGAAGTAGTCATGAAGGATAATATAAGAAGAAGGGACAGCCGAGCCAAGCAAATTGGCATGGATGAGGACGCAATCGAGGAAGAGGCGGCCGATCAATTTACTCCAACATTCAGTGCTACAAATGTCACAAATATGCACTATGAAAATTATTATAACTCCGACAAATGTTACAATTGTGGCAGAGGGGCATTTTGTAAAAGATTGTCGAGCCGATAAAAAGGTGGAAGAAACAATAAACCTAGCCTTGGTGACGCAACAAACGAAGGTCTTAGGTCTTCTCTTGATGGCTCAAAATGAAGATCTGAAAGCGTAAGAACACGGCAGAGAAAAAGACGATGGCGGTAGATGTGAGGCGGTGAAAACCGTTGGAAACGAGGGGATACACAACGAATTCGGCAAAATTGCAATATTGAAGATGAGAAATTCGAACGAATCTGGATTGAACACTCAATCGGCGAACGAGCCAAAGAAACTTCCAGATCACCAAAAGGAGAATAAAGATTTAAAGCAACAACCAAAATCTGCCGTAGATAAATCTATGGAGAAGTCTTAGTTGTAGACATTGAAATTCCTGAACGAGCGCATTTTGAAGGAGAAAGTAGAGATTGAAAAAGAAAAGAAAGCTTTTAGAATTGGAGATTGAAAGCTTAGAGATGGAAGGACTGAGCTGAGTGAGAGTTCTTTCTATCTCAAACAAGAGAAGAAAGAGAATGGGAAAGTAAAGAATTGAAGAAGTATGGAGAAAGAGAGGAATGCTACTGATAAGTCATGGGTTCAAAACCAAGGTGCGTGCTGAAAAGTGAAATTCTTTACATTGAAGCGTGGTACCATACGGATCGAGTTGAACATCCTTCTAGTCAAACTTGGTTAGACATGGCGTGGGTCGGAAGAGCTATCGTGTGTCGAATATCGAGTGGAGCCGAGTCACTTTACAACAAGCCTGACGCGTTATTCCACCTAATCGTCAATACGTGTCCCTCAGGCTTTCTGACACGCTTTCCCTCCCGCAAGTTGACACGTGGCCGCTTTCCCTCCCGCAAGTTGACACGTGGCTTGTCGGCTGTCTAACGCGCTTTCCTTCCCACAAGTTGACACATGGCTTGTCGAAAATTTTTCTCTCATGAGAGTTGCAATACTGAATCTGGCTTTCAAAGTGAGTTCATTAACCTTCTTGTCCGTGAAAAGACTCTGAGAAATCCAAGAATTTCATCTTTCTTAAAAGAACATATCGAACGGCCAAAATAAGTTCATTTACCTCCTTCTTGTTCCTGAAAGAACTCTCAGAAATCCTCGAATTTCATCCTTCATTGAAGAACATATCAAACGACTCAGATCTAAAGAAAAATTTTGAACGACCGTATCATCGGTTTAAAGTTCATAATTTTGTAACCCCGTATCATGAAAAGATATTAAGAATTAATAAAACTTGGCCTATGTAATTGTCGAACCTACGACCTTCACGTTTTTAACACTACAAACTTACAACTGAGCTAATTGGGCATAAATTTTATGCACATTATAGATCATTAGCTCCTAATCCAGCCAATCGAGTTTCGTTTACATAACTTTATGCATAATAAACTTAAAAAAATCATTATCTTCTAAAGTTCATAGTGTTTTAACTCGTATCATGAAAAGATATAATTAAAAATGAGGGAAATTGGCCCATGCAATTGTCGAATCTGTGACCTGCACGTTATTAGCACATAGCTCTAACCAACTCAGCTAACAGGCCATAGATTTTCTCGCCTGACAATGCGCCTGACGCGTTATTCCACCCAATCGTCAATATGTGGCCCTCAGGCTGTCTGATACGCTTTCCCTCCCACAAGTTGAAACATGGCTTGCCGGCTGTCTCACGCGCTTTCCTTCCCACAAGTTGACACGTGGCTTGACGAAAACTTTTCTCTCGTGAGAGTCGAAATACTGAATCTGGCCTTCAAAATGAGTTCATTTAACTCCTTGTTTGTGAAAAGACTCTAAGAAATCATCGAATTTCATCTTTCGTAAAAGAACATATCGAACGGCCAAAACTAGTTCATTTACCAACTTCTTGTTCCTGAAATGACTCTCAGATTCTCTCGTGAGAGTCGAAATACTGAATCTGGCCTTCAAAATGAGTTCATTTACCTCCTTGTTTGTGAAAAGACTCTAAGAAATCCTCGAATTTCATCTTTCGTAAAAGAACATATCGAACGGCCAAAACTAGTTCATTTACCAACTTCTTGTTCCTGAAATGACTCTCAGAAATCCTCTAAAGAAAAATTGTGAACGGTCGTATCATCGGTTTAAAGTTCGTACTGTTGTAACCCCGTATCATGTAAAGATATTATTAAAAATTAATAAAACTTGGCCTATGTAATTGTCGAACCTACAACCTCCACGTTTTTAACAGGACAATCTTACAAACTGAGCTAATTGGGCATAGATTTTATGCACATTATAGATCGTTAGCTCCTAATCCAGCCAATCGAGTTTCGTTTACATAACTTTATGCATAATAAACTTAAAAAATTCATTATCTTCTAAAGTTCGTAGTGTTTTAACTCGTATAATGAAAATATATAATTAAAAATGAGGGAAATTGGCCAATGCAGGTGTCCAACCTACGACCTTCACATTATTTGCACAATGCTCTAACCAACTAAGCTAATAGGCCATAGATTTTCTTGCTTGACAATGCGCCTGACTTGTTATTCCACCCAATCGTCGATACGTGTCCCTCAGGCTATCTGACACGCTTTCCCTCCCGCAAGTTGACACGTGGCTTGCCGGCTTTCTCACGCGCTTTCCTTCCCACAAGTTGACACGTGGCTTGCCATAAAATTTTCTCTCATGAGAGTCGCAATACTGAATCTGGCTTTCAAAGTGAGTTCATTTACCTCCTTGTTCATGAAAAGATTGAGAAATACTCGAATTTCATCTTTCGCAAAAGAACATATCGAACGGCCAAAATAAGTTCATTTACCTCCTTCTTGTTCCTGAAATGACTCTCAGAAATCCTCGAATTTCATCCTTCATTGAAGAACATATCGAACGACTCAGATCTAAAGAAAAATTGTGAACGGCCGTATCATTGATTTAAAGTTCGTAATGTTGTAACCCCGTATCATGTAAAGATATTATTAAGAATTAATAAAACTTGGCCTATGTAATTTTCGAACCTATGACCTCCACGTTTTTAACACGACAATCTTACAACTGAGCTAATTGGGCATAGATTTTATGCACATTATAGATCGTTAGCTCCTAATCTGGCAAATCAAGTTTCGTTTACATAACTTAATGCATAATAAACTTAAAAAAGTCATTATCTTCTAAATTTCATAATGTTTTAACTCGTATAATGAAAAGATATAATTAACAATGAGGGAAATTGGCCCATGCAGGGGTTGAACGTGCTATCTTCGCATTATTAGCACGACACTCTAACCAACTGAGCTAATAGGCCATAGATTTTCTCGCCTGACAATGCGCCTAACGTGTTATTCCACCCAATCGTCAATATGTGTCCCTCAGGCTCTCTAACATGCTTTCCCTCCCGCAAGTTGACACGTGGCTTGCCGGCTGTCTCACGCACTTTCCTTCCCACAAGGACATTGAAACGACGTGACCGAGGAAGAACAGAACGTTGGATTGGGTAAGGAAGACAGAACGTTGGATTTTCGAACCCTCTCAGATTTGAGTGTTTACGCCCTTACGAACCAAACAAACACCATAAACGAGATTAGGGGGAGGAGGAGACTAAAAAATGGAGGAAAAAGAACATTGAAACGACGTTACCGAGGAGAGAGAGTCGCCGAAAAATTCTCTAGTAATCGGGGTGAGGGAAACGAAGTCCGACACGAGATCCGACTCACGACCCAAAACCCACAGGCAACCCTAACCGATGTGAGGGGTGGAGAAGATGAAGTCCACCTGGTCGGACCAAAACTCGAATACCCGCAACCTCATTATAGCCAAGCAACCCCATACCTAGTTTGCTCCAGTAACCTAAAATACAAAGCTTCGACCCAACAATGCAATCAGATACCAACTAACACCAGTCAAGTAGTCTACTTCCTCTGTGCTTGGCCCAAAACCCCACATTCAAACAAAAAATACACAGAACACGGTCTAACCCATGATCCACTACACCTACTTGTGTGCCCACATGAACATTCAAGACCCATGCCCCGACCCACTTTGCGACTTGCTCATGTGTCAATGTCCCTCAATGACAGGGTCACTACTGCATACACGGGCCCCTTCGGCTTAGCTTCTCGGAATTTTAGGTTAAAAAACAACATATTTGGCTTGATTTGACATTTTTGACATGAACCTTTACATTTTTTACCTTTCCGAAGCTGATTTTTTTTAACATAGGTAATTATGAATCAATTAATAGAGGTCCTAGTGGACAGTTATATCAAGGACGCCAGTATATTCCAGGCTCACAAATCATCATTTGTTATGCACTCAGGTAGTATAGAAAATCAGAGTGTCCTTGAGATTCAGGCGTAAGGGTAAACTTGTACAATACTAACTTTTGTAGAAGCTTGGAAGCCATTTTAAATCTCTAGTGAGTTCAAATGATTTCAATAATGATAAGCTATTGTATTTTTATTTTACCTTTATTTGAGTTGCCAGGAGTGGGATTTGAACGCACACCCTCTACCTATTCTATATAACTATTTTTATAAAGAATAGCACTTTATAAAACAAAACCTTTCTAAGTTATAGAAGTTGGATTTCAACCCACGGACTCACAAGGACCAAAACTTGAGTCGTAAAGCCCCACTCAACCATCTTAACTATTTATTATGAGACCTAACACTGGCTGAAGAGTGGAATGAAGCAATCCTTATAAGGGTGTGGAAACCTGAATGAAGCAATCCTTATAAGGGTGTGGAAACCTCTCTCTTAAAGATGCGTTTTAAAACTTTTAAACTTACACGATACGTAACATGCCTAAACAAACAATATCTGCTAGCAATTGGAGAGGGACACAAAACATTAACTATAAGGTTGTTGATATCTCTCCCTAATAGACATATTTTAAAATCGTGAGGCTGATGGTGATACGTAATTAGCCAAAGTAGACAATATCAGAGGTGGGCTTGGTTTGTAACAAATTGTATTAGAGTTAGTCATTGGGTGGTGTGCCAACGAGATTGCTGGGAACACAAGGAAGTGGATTGTGAGATCCCACGTTGGTTGTGGAGGGGATGAAACATTTTTTATAAGCATGTGGAAATCTCTTACTATTAGACGTGTTTTAAAACTGTGAGGTTGTCAACGATATGTAATGAGTCAAAGTAGACAATATCTAGGCTAATACTCATAATTTGTTGGAATAGTTCAGTTGGTTAGAGCGTATGATTGTTGACCATAAGGTCGGAGGTTCATCTCTCTTTTTATCAATGGGAATGAATCATTCCATTTTAGTATATGGAAAAATTTAACCCTCCAACAAAAGTGGACAATGTTATATAATTATGTAGGTTCGTGATTCCTAACATTGTTACAGTCTTAATCTAGCATTCTTAATAATAATATTGTGTTCTTTTTAGGGGTAGCTTCAATACAAAAACATAATGTAAAAAATATTTTAGCATAAAGCAGTTACATCATGCATGTTCTAGTGACTCTAGGTCCCTAGAAAACTAGGGTCGTTACATATAATCTACACCTAAACATTCTTTAACCTAAAGAAAAACCCATGGCAACTCGCTCAATCAAGGACTCGATTACCACCTACAAGTAGGTTACTTATTTAGTTGCACTAGATATTTCTTTTCCTTTTTGGGTGATCACTAATTGTTAGTTAAGGTCATAGAGGAGGGTCGTCCCAAGCCATCAGTTCTATATGTACAAGTTGTTGTCCTTAGTTTTCGAATCTCGTTCCAATTTTTATCAAAATTTTCTTTGTCACGTCAGTTCTATGTGTTACGAATTATTGTCCTTAGTTTTCGAATCTCCTTTCAATTTTTATGAAATTTTTTCTTTGTTAGGATGTGTCATGAATAATGATTTGAAGTCTTAGAAAGTTGAGTTATTATAGTTGTGCTTTGAAGTTATTACAGTTCTTATATGCTTAAAAAATCATGTCGTGACAATTTTAAATCTCCAGTGAGTTCAATTGATTTCAAAAAATGATATGCTATTGTATTTTTATTTTACCTTTATTTGAGAGTTGTCAGAAGTAGGATTTGAACCCATGCCCTCTGATCCCGCATTGGTTTGAGAGGAGAATGAAAGAATAACTTATAAGTGTCTGTAAACATCTCTAGTAGCGTGTTTTAAAACTGTGATTCTAACGACGATTTGTTACGGTAAAAAATGGACAATATTTTTTAGTGTTTGAAAATGGGAACGAAACATTCCTTAGAAGAGTGTGGAAATCTCTCCCTAGTAGACTCATTTTAGAATTGTGAGGTTGATGATGATATGTAATGGGCAAAATCGGACAATATTTGTTAGCGGTGGGTTTGGGCTATTACGAAAGCTATCAAAGTAAGTCACCAAGCGTTGTGCCAGCAAGGACGTTGGGCCCCCAAGGAGAGTGTATTGTGAGATCCAATATTGGTTGGAGAGGGGATGAAACATTCCTTATAAGGATATGATGGGCTTGAGCTATTACAAATAATTAGCTGGAATAGCTCAGTTGGTTAGAGCGTGTGGCCCTTAACCACAAGGTCGGAGGTTCAAACCCTCCTTCTAACGATGGTAATAAGTCTACCTACTCTATGACTTGTTAGGATGTGACATGATATGAAAGTATGGTACTTATGATATTGTACCCATACCGCATGGGAGCAAATGTGTGTGTATGTAAGTCATGAGTAGAGAAGTATGCACATCAAATTCTACTCGAACACGAATATGAGACCAAGGCCATGAAATGATATTTTATGATAACCATGATTTCATGTGTTTGCGTGAGTAGAGAAGTAGTGGAGTTACTTAATGAGTATTTCTTAAAATACTCAAGACATGCACTACTCTTATTTTTTAGGTAAAGGCAAGACACCTCTGCACAAATGACGATGTCGAGATGACGACCATGGGATCCAACGTACACAACACTAGTGAGATAGAGGGGTAGGATCAAACGTACAAAGATGGTTAACATCATGAGAAAGAAGGAGAAGAAACAAGATGTAGACAACGAGTTTTGATACGGAGGAATGAAGAAAGGAAAATGCATGGAAACGAGTGGAGAAGACGAAGTCCACTTACTCGGACCCAAACTCGAATACCCGCAACCTCATTCCAGTCAAGCAACCCCATACCCAGTTTGGTCTAGTAACTAGATACCCACCAACAATCAGTCTAGTAGTCTAGTTTCGTCTACTTGCTCGAACCCAAACTCGAATACCCGCAACCTCATTCCAGTCAAGCAACCCCATACCCAGTTTGGTCTAGTAACTAGATACCCACCAACAATCAGTCTAGTAGTCTAGTTCCTATGTGCTTTGCCCAAAACCCACATTGAAGCCCAAATACACAGAACACAGCCCAACCCACGGATCCACTACACAGACCTGTGCGCCCACATGAACATTCAAGACCTGCACCTCGAACCACTTTGCAACCTGCTCATATGTCATTGTCCCCCAGCGATAGAGTCACTGTTGCATACACCGGCTCCTTCGGCTCGGGATCTCGGAGTCCTAGGCTAAAAAATTGCGTATTATGTTCGGTTTGACATTTTGACACCGACCTTTATGTTTTTTGCCCTTTCGAAGCTTATTTTTACTTTAATAGAAATATTTAAGGTCAGTATAACGTCTTATCTCTGAAGTTCAAGTTAAATTAAATTAGAAATGTAAATTACTAACGAAGAGAGATGGACGTTTTAATAGGAAACAACAACTGACAACACTTGAAGTAACTTCGAGAGACAAAATTCACGCTCGCATGTGTGAGTCATGTGTAGGGATGTACTACACATCCAATTTTTCCAGACTAGAGGCCACCCCTATGATATTTTTAACAATAGGTTCCTAAGATCATTAGTTGCATGTGTTTGCATTCCCTAGCCTCAATAGTCGAGTCCTTATGAGTATTTCTTAAAATACTCAAGCCTTGTACTACTTCTATTTCAGGTAAGGGCAAGACGCCCCTATATAGCTGACGACGACATCAAAAATAGAGATAATGACATGTGCATAGAATAGTAGTATTTTATTTTCTTAGGCATAGGTTAGTATAGGGAATTTTTACTTTGATGTTTTAATTGTTTTAGAAAGATGCTTTCAAATGAGTAAGTCCATGACACTATTTTAAGATGAAGTTTAATTGCTTAATTTCGTATAAGAGCATAGGATATGATGACGGTGGCAACTTTAGGCTAATAGAAATCTAGGTTCGTTACCGTTGGTATCAGAGCTCTAGGTTATAGATTCAGTAGACTTACCTACGAGATAGGCTTGGCACTGTTGGATCGGTATGGCAACCCTAGAGGGG